TGGTGACCGCAAAGAGCATGCAGAGCACTTCACAGCTCTCATTGCCAGACCTTGCTGGACTCACAAAATCACCACTTCTTTAAAAGCCTGTTTATCTAGGCATTGTGTTTACTTGAAGCTTTTAAGACTTGAAAATTCAGCTCTAAAAGAGAAACTATGATCCTGGTGTTTTGTTCTTTAGTACATTTCTCTTGTTTAACACAGCTCACAATAAGACTTCCCTCTCAGCCTCCACAAAGAAACAACTTTCCGATCTGGGCTTTAAATTTACCTCTGGATTCTTAAGGCAGAATAGAAAATAATGCAGTGTTGGGGCACGTGCACTATACTCTTACCCTCCTACTCGCTATTCATTTCTCTGTTAAGGCTCTGCACTGCCAGACCTTGACACAAGGACCATCTATTTCTCACCCTCCCCTCACCCCCTCCACTCATTCTGCAATATATAAGAGCACTTCATATTAAGTATGTTCCAGACAAACAACATACTCTAGTGAAGTACTGAGTACATTTTTCCTGCACACTGTGTTGGCCTGAAAGCTATCTTCTACACTACTGTTCCCACAGAACCATTCCCAAACGCCTTGAACTCTTACTGATACTTCTGATATCACCTTTGATCTTGATGTGTTTCTACTTCTCCAAGCATGACATGAAAGCAACATTCCTGTATTGTTTTACATTTGAAATCAGCTGTATTTCAAAGCTCTGATGTCATCAGGGCAACTTTATATCATCTCCAGTGAAATATATCTGCTCAACAGATGTGAAACAGATCTTTTGTTTCACTACTCAGCTTAAAGCCAGCTACATAAATAATTGAATGGGATGGTATTTTGTAATGATGCCCACGTATTTATCTGTCAAATCTGCCAAAACCCTGTCCCTGGCCACCTGCTTCAGGATGATCCTGAACGGTTGGCTTTCCTCAACAACGGCTTTAGTGCACACTGCTACTGCAGCCAGACATGGGAAATACACCAAAGAGGAGGCTTTCTATTCACATTTCATCCCTGTAGCCATCTGGGTAGCTTTCTATGTAGATTTCCTTGCCACTGTTAGGACAGACCCAGCAAGACGAGTCAGATTGGGGAATCAGCAGCAATTCATCTACCAACTAGTTCTGTGGATGGAAAGGCTTGATTCCACACCCCTCTCCTGGTAAGTGAGACCATAAGTGAGGGAACCCCAACTTTACACCCTGAAGCACCCTGGTAGCAGTGATAAGCAAGGGCTCAAGAAACAGGCTAAGAATCACACTGAAAGGCTTTGAATTTTCAGGATGTGCTTCTCTTTTTACTTTTGATTCATATTTCATTCAATTTTATATTTTCAAAAAATCAAGGGGGGAAAAATCAAGAGAATGGCAGGAGGACAATGATGAAGAAATGCAAAGGAAAAGACAGTTTAGGTCAAAGAAAGGAGAGCAATATTGAGTTTCCAGGTCTTAGGCTAACCCAAATCTTCTCAGCCTTCACTGAGCTTTAGCACTTGGATGACTTAAAATTCATCTCTTAAAAAGTATTAGGAAGACCTAATCAAGGGAGAGAGAAAACACACTCATCTCCATTTCCCCTCCAATCACTGGACTACAAGGCTTGCCTTCTGCTATATTAGCTCTCTAGCTGCATGAATTTGTCCCAGTATGGGTGCACATTTTAGTCATTGTCAAAGAGCTGAAAACACAATTGCTGGGGCCCCGCAAAGAATCAGTCGTTGCAGGAAGGTAGGCACCAGCCTTAACCCAGCAGCACCTCCTAACAGTAAAGGCCATGATACCAGTCACCTGAGTACACTTCCCACCAAATCCCAAATTCTGTATTTTAATTACCACTTTTCCCAAAAGCTGAAGGAAAACTGATGAAATTCTATGTTTTAGAGATGCCACAGTTTGGATCCTCCTGGTATAAGAGTGATTTGTGTCAAGATGAGCTTTTAAGCATTAAAGATTTTACTATACCAATGTTGGGATACTAAGTAATATATAGTAATATGTTCTCCTCAAGCATTTATAATTGTTTAATTAACTCAAGTTTAATCTTAATGTATGCCTCTGCAAGTTGTATCCAGATGTTCTGTGTGTTAAGTCTGAGTACCACCTCTTATTTCTCTCTGACATTTTGAAAGTATCAGGGAATAAAAGTTACGATGAGCCTCAGTGCTTCATTGCTGCAAGACTCATCTACGTAAGGTTCACTACAGTTATTCCTCAGGTGTTAAAGCTTCATTGAAATAAAACAGATACAGTAACAAAGGTATAACTGACAGTCATATTGACTGATGTGCTTTTTGATTCAACTCTATAAATATTTACTCAGCACAATCCTTTAGAAGATTAACTTAGAAAGTAGTTCAAGTTCAAATCCCTGTTTCATTACGATGCTAAAAGAATATTCCCTGTACACCACACACTGAACTAGGAAGTACAGGTAAATATTAAATTTGTCCAGAGCATTAGAAAACAATCAAGAACATACCATATGCACTAGCAACAGCACAAGAGCACTGGACACTCAACTACCATTCTCTCCAGCTGACGGATTTATCCCTTTGTAGAGCTTCTTTTTCAGGAGCATCGCTCTGTACCAAAAAGGAACTCCCAAGCCTCACAGCAGAAATATAAAACAACTCAGCTTTCTTTGTGTAAAGCTAAGAAAGGGATTAGAGATCTCTTACCTCTCTCCCCTGCATCCCTAGGATACCAAAATTGATGTCTCTTCAGTTTCCAGGCAATTTGGCTAGTTTTATACAGTTTTGGAAGGCAAATTCCTTAAAGCCGCTAGTAGAGCAAACTCAAACAGGGGAACTAAAACCAAATTGAGCTCTTCCCATTGCTGCAGGTCTACAGGATTTCTTCTGTCCCTTTACCTCCCTCAAGCCTTAAACTTGCTCTCTACTTCTACACTGCATGAGCAGAGGGGTAACCGAGGTGCGGGGCTGAAGCTTGTTATGCATTTTTCAGTGCTAATGTGTCAGGTAGAACCAACTCCCATCCTTAGTCATGGACATCAGGAGACGCAAAAACTAATTTGCCTCAGTACAGTAAGCAGAAAGAACTGAATAGAATAGTACAGTGAAGAGAACATCTGATCTCATATTCTTGGAGCAGACTGGCATTTTATGTATCACATAGTGATATCTCTGCCTAATAGGATTCCTCCCAAAGGTAAGATGATTAAGCTACCTGTCTTCAGCCTCTTCCACAGCTGCTCACACGGGAACACATAATTTCACTAACACAACATTTGATGTATAAATGAATTTCCTTGCCAGACTACAGTAAATGAAGCAAGACACACTGCTACACTGGGCAAGCAGCAAGAGTTCTAAAATTATCTCAGGGTGCTAAATTTGTCTCACAGCTGTGGAGGTGGCTTCTACAGTAGGAAAGAACAAATCTGTGAAATCTCAGGAACATGGATTTAAATTTGTCAGAGAACGTGGTTAAAAAGTTGGAACACAGTCAAGATTCAAATGCTTAAAATTTAGAGAAAAAAAAATCAACTCCTCATATTATTTCACAAATCTAGCATACTGTGTGATGCAACCATCCTGCTCTCACCCACTACAGCAAAACACTGCCATTATTCTGATGGGATAGTGTAACCCTCTCGCAGTAAACAGACTGTGTAGAAATTGTAACAGCCAACAGCTAATTCAGAAATAGCACAGGAAAAGTGGAGCAAGTTAGTGGAGAATATTTGTTCTATAAGAGCCTAACATCATGTATTAAGAAGTGATCAGGCCCTGAGGAAGTCAGTCTTTAGGAGGAAATATTTTACTGTGAAGGTGGTGAGGCACTGGCACAGGTTGCCCAGGGAAGCTGTGGATGCTCCATCCCTGGAGGTGTTCAAGGCCAGGCTGGATGAGGCTTTTAGCAACCTGGTCTAGTGGAGGTTGTGCCTGCCCATGGCAGGGGGGTTGGAACTCAATGGTCTTTAAGGTCCCTTCCAACCCAAACCATTCTGTGATTCTATGATGAATCACTGACCATTATCTGATTCACTTACTACTAAAACATTACATCCCCACTATTGTCCTGTAATCAATTTAACTAGCTGCCTAATTATAAACATTCTAATTTTCTTACCCGTTAGCCTCATTCATGCCTACTTCATTGTAGAAAGAAATAGAAAACCTAACACATCATACATATAGACATATATAAATAAAACTGATGAACAATGTGGAAATTGCTGTACCAAGTGACCACTTGATACTCAAGTGACCAATTGAGTTCAAGTTCCTCATATGTTTCTAACTAGGCAACAGCACATGACCCTTCCTGATCCTTCTTAAATTCAAGACTACATCCTAAAGCATGAGAACTACACTCCTATTTAAGCAGGCTGAAATGCAATACATTAATGTTCATAATTCAGCCCTTTTCAAAATCTAGTTTCACTACTTGACATCTTCAGGCAATTAATTTTTCAAAACACAGTTAGTTAAATGTTAATATTATTAAATCAAATAACCTGATTAATTTAACAATTTCACTGGCATGGTAGGGTAAAATTATGTCCTCTCTTTCCAAAAAACAAGGGAAAGTAATTTCAGTTCCAGCTAAGCTATGGTCTTTCTAATTTGGACACAACAGCTATAGTTTTTGCTTAGTTTATTAGAGTCTCTTCTGATTCTATTAAATCAACTTTTGATTTAATTTTAGCCCCCAGTTCAAGTTTTATAAATATAAGCTCTAACTGAAATGTTTCCATGGATACAAAGGTTTCAATAAGAACATTTGCACAGAAGGAATGATCTTTGTTCCTCATATCTCAGATCCAAGTCTCCGCTGTACTGAAATCTTAATGTTTGCAAAAGGAAAACTGAAAAGATTCAAGTGAACTAACTTAATCTTAATCTCTTAATCTGAGAAAGAAAACTGAAGTTGTTAAACATGGAAAAAAAAGTCAGTCCATTTGGATGAGTTTTTCTTTTCACAAGAGACAATCTGAGGAATAAGCACTGGTAAAACCCCTCAATTTAGTTACTCTTACCTCAATAATATACAAAACTACATTCTTGTAGAAGCAATAGAGTATGCACTTGGTAACTCGATTGTAACTCCAAGCTCCATGGACCAACAACAGCTTCTCCAAATAGGAAAACTGAAAGAGAGAAAATGGGTTTTTTAAACATATGAAGAACTGTTTGTTTTTTTTTTTTTTTTTTTTAAAAAAAACACTGTTTAAAGTAAACTCCTGACTTCAGATCAGCTATGAAATTTGTTCTTCAAGTGCAATATTTAAATAGCTTATCAGAACATACATGCAAAAACCAACACAATATTTACAGGAAAAGCCTTTTTTGAAGCAAAATTCTGCATGTTTTTAAGTGGTCTTCACTGGTTTTAAACAGCAAGAAGTCTTCAATTAGTAGTACTATCTTGATAGAAAAATCAAGCAAGGTTAACATAATATAGCCTTGTGGATTGAATATAAATGTGAACTCTTCATTTCATGGTCAAAGAAGATTCCTGTGTTTGACGACTTAAAAGGTTCACTCTCCATTGTCTGTGTTAAATGAACAGTCTGATAATCAGAACTGTCTTGAGCTGAAATAAAACACACAAGGTGGCAACACAAGTAGAAAAATAGATGTATAGAGTCTTTAGAGAGAACAAATACTTACATTAACATTTCCAGTCCAGAAAATATATGCCATCATATATTACATGAAGCACCCAAAATACTCTATAAAGAAAGAAGAAGCATTTGCCAAAAAGGGCAAGTAAAAACAGATACCTTTTAATGCCAGTTTGAACCACAGATACAGCTCAAATTCTGCTTCTCAATTCAGCAGTTTTGAAAATAGACTTTTATAGAAGCAGTCTCACAATGCAACCACGGAAATGCATATTTTCTAGTCTTGGCTTTGTCAGTGAACCTTTTTATGGCCTGCAGCATTCCTTTTTCCTTCAGTTACAGACAGCTCATACTGGTGACTGGACCATTCAGCACATGCATACCTGAAAGAATTCTTGGACACTAAGGTGGGATCATTATTTGCTTTGCTTCCTTTTCCATAAAGTGACTTGATAAGAAAAGCTTAGGTTCTAGATCATTGATTTTAACCCAAACTTATTTGAAATTGAAAGCTACACTAATGAATTAGGAGTGTCATGAGATAGCTCTGCTCCCATGATTTCCAGCACTGAAATCACTGAACCACAAATCCTATAAGAACAACCTCCCTCCCCTGCATCAGCAACTCAGATTTGTTAGGATATGCCAGCAAAAAGGGAGAGAAAATAAAAGTGAATCAAACTTCACAGTTCAGTCTCTGACCAACTTGAGTCAGCACTGAAAGTGAGACACTCAGAAGGGAGCAGTTGACCTATTAGACACCTAGTGCCTCAGTTAATATGCAGCACAGGTACAACTTTCTTCATCAAAATTCACGGACAACACACATCAGTGACAGGAAACTTGCCACTATGTCCTGACAAGTCACCCCAAACACCTCTTGTAGACAATAGTTAGACACACCCTAAAAATTTATCTCTGCTGATTCTAACAAGTGACCATCTCAGATGTAGTCTTCTCTGGAGTTCAAGGCAAGGAAAAATCCTACATTAATTGCCTCTCTTGACTGTACTCTCATGAAAATGAACGCACTACACAGCACAGCAAAGAAGATATTAGCAACCTAAAAAACACAGTTCTGAGCCTCTTCACACTGGTGAATGGTCCTATTGAGACATGGCAAGGAATTAAATTTGTTTTGATGCAGGTCACTGAAATTAGGCAAACGCACAGCTACGGGTATAATACTTGAGCGACTGTAGGGATAGGGCTCTACTAAGACACTTCCCTTGTTTGGGCAGTACTGTATTCATGGTGTTTTAAATCGGAAGGTAACATTAAAGACCATCCAGGTGGCCTACCTGCAAAACACTTTCTGTAAGTTTTCAGTCATCTCTGTATCAACCCTAGCATACCTTTTTTTTTTATACAGAGATTATCTTTTAGAAAGATACCCCTCATCTTGACTAAAGGATGAGGTGATGCCATGCTGGGGGGGGGAGGGAGATGGGGTGCTTAAGGCAGGGAAAGTGCATCCAAAATGCAAGATAAATTTTCCAGAAAAGAAAATTGAAGCATGAACATTTATCTAAGAAAGAAGTTTCCCTAGTTAAGAAAAGTGAACAGTCCCTAGACACCAGATGCTCTCTGGATTAAGATGATAAAGCTTTTTACTGAGGAAAAAAGTAATTAAATTCTACTACTGCCTTTCTAAACAGTTCGGCCATTTGATTTGGGAATTCTCTAACTATGGATCACCGGTGCAATATCATTTCAAGGGAAAAGGATGATTCAAACAGATGCTTCTTGCACCTGTGGAAGCTATTTGGAGTAGGGTCAGACACAAGTTGCCTTCTTTATTTTTTCTTGGTTTATGCTTTGATTCCCCCTGGAATCCTGAACAAGCCTATATAGAGACTTTCTCTTCCATAAGTGCCTACTTCTGGCACCACTGCATTTGAAATACCATTTGAACACAAGATGCTACATTATAGTTGTCATCTTAAATTACTCAATAAGAACATACTCTGCCTTCAAGGCATGCACATACAGTAACGCTTTAGTGGGAGTTATAGGTGTTCACAGAAAGAAATATACCCCACAGAGATCAAGGTTTTCTTTTGAACACTGTTTTTGAAACACACATTACCATACACTGTTAGTCTCTTTCACAAGAGGGATTCCTTTTCAAGTTTTTTTAATCAGCACAAAGCTCTTCTACACACTCACAAAAAATACAGTTCCACAGCATTTTACTAATTTTTCAACTTAAAATTCTGTGCTGGTATGCCCAGCTTTTATTTCATATTGAACTAAAAAAATTAATTGCTGTTGTCATTAACTCCCTGACTGGAATTTAAACCAAGAGCAACTTACTTCCACATTCTAACACTGAAGCCAAATCCAAGGGTTTTTGTTAATGCAGAAGCAACGCATGAACGCAGAATTAGTTCTTCAGTTTTAACGTTACTGCAACCCACGCAAAATGAATTAAGTGCATAGGGCCCTCTATGGACAGAGCTCTCACTGCTTATACTTATTAAAATGGAAGTAATAAATGATCTGAGCAAGTCTAAGTAAAGAGCATTCAATTAAGGCATACAGCATAAGCAATATATAGTCTACAGAAGTGAAAAATGAGAAGGTCTTTACAAGATATCACAGACTTAACGATTATGGCAGCTCCTACAATGGCATGTATTTGGAATATGCTACTGTTTATGACAGAATAAGCCCTTGACAAAACAGCCTAAAATTTTCAAGATAAATTTGGTGAAAGATCTCAGTTATTCAAGCCTGAAACCCAGAGCGCCTCATCAGACTGCAGAACAGAGCAGCAATACAAGACTGCCACTTTGCTTCACAGCAGGGTTAACACAACAAACAGTTATCTGTGCAAACAGCAGCATTATCTGTGCCTTTTCAAAACCTCACCTTCTACTGAAACTATCAAAAGATAATACTTCATATCACTTGGTAGAGCAAATCTGCCTACACCCTGGCAGAAGGGAACATCAGCTGATGCTCACAGATCACTGAGGAGACAGTGGATTGTCTCTGCTTCGTGTCAGCTCCATGTGTTCTTGTCCTGCAATCAGTCTCAAACACATACACAAAGCATCTCAGCTTTAAATAGTATTCAAAGGATGTCCAGCAGCTGAAGCATCTCCTTCCTTTTTTTATGCTTCTTTTAAAATCCTTATTCTCCATTTTGGTTTTTCAGTAAAACAAAAAAAGTTTTTACTCTCCTCTTTAGCTGAAGTAATCAGTGCTGAATTTGACAGGACAGCTTGAGAGCACCCACCCAAATAACACACCTGAGATGAAATGCTGGCCAGCTCTCTAGAACTGTGACTAATTCTTGTACACCTCATAGGGGTGGGGAGAACAAAAACAACAACAAAAAGGAGACACCCCAAAATAATAATTTCCCAACAGACAAACTCTTATACACTTGGTTACAATGCCTACTCATAAGAGAAAAGAGCTTGCACCAAGAGAGGTAAGGTAAGCAGCACTAAAAACATGCTAACATAAGCATCACAGAAAGTGCTTCTCCCTTATTACTGAAGAAACAAAACACTGTACAGCTGTCAGAAGGAAACAAACTTTAAGAGGAAGTGGAGCTTTGCACTAAAGAACATAAAATCTTAATAATGAAACCCAAAAATACATCCCAAATATCTGTTTTAGACAGCTGCCTTGAAAAGGACACGAGCAGAGACACTCCTAGCTCAACACTAGAAGTCATGAAGCACTCCATGGCCACACAGCATTATCTCTGACAACAGGATACGGCAGTTGCTCTTTTTTGCCTCTGACCTGTGCAATAGCATAGTCTGAGCAATTGGTTGCCTGCATGCCCTCATTGCCACTGATCCCCACTCCAACGTGAGCTGTCTGGATCATTCCTACGTCGTTGGCACCATCCCCAATGGCAAGTGTTATAGCATTGACGTGTTTCTTGACCATGTCTACTATTTCAGACTTCTGTAGAGGAGATACTCTGAAAAGGAGAGAAAAAGGTGTCAGTTTCTCACATGCTGAGCTATGTGCCTTTCCCAAAAGGACAGCTGTAATCTACATTTAGAAGTCATCAAAGGGCAGTTGCTGGGAACTTACTTTATTCAACAACTAAGCTTCAGAATGTGTGCCAAACCATTTCAGATGAAACAAATAGCTTTAAAAATAATTTCACATTTATCACTACTGGCTCATGTTTTATGCAAAAGAGAACAAACATATGAAAGGTTTTAAAGCTTTGTTTTCCTCCCCAGCCCCAAACCCAATACACTTTAGCATACACAAGTGATGTTATATTGGGACCACTGGAGAAGGGAGTTTCCTCTTCAGCTACAACAGTTTCGAGATTAACAGTAATTAAGATCTCCATCCCGGAGGTGGAAGACCACTAATACATTCACAGAATAAATCAGAGATTTTTCAGTGGTTTGGCAAAAGGTATTACAGGCTTACCTTATTCCTTCCTCCAGCTTACTTCCCCATTTGCCAGGCCATTTTCCAACCTCAGACTACACAATTAGGATCGGAAATAGTAAGGCCTCTCAGCTGATCTCAAGCAGCCTTGCGTGCTAGTGCAACTCTGACTCCAGTAATGACATCACTCAATTCTAATTCAAAACTGAAAGGCTGACTCCATAACTTCTGACCAGTCTTATCTGTTTTATTGCTACTTACTTTAACCTGATCCTTCTCTCATTTTATATCAGATCATTTGATAAAAATTCATGTAATTCAATAGAGCTAAACCAGTCTAAACCAGGGAGAAGTGGAAAAATACTCAGGACTAGGTTACTAAATTGGATAGGACACCCAAAATGCCCTTTTTTAATAGAAAAGGTGGATCAGGTTACCAAATCATATGAGGTATTCTAGAAATACCTACATGTAGATTAAATATTTCCATTGTAACCCCATCTGTACAAACAACCCTAATTCCTTTCCCCATCAGTTTTATTTAAAAGTTCCAAATTATTTTATATTCCTTTAAATAAACCTTTAGTCAAAACTTTTCCACGTCTCAAATCAACTACATAACACTCAACAAAAATAATGTAACTGATATCTAAAAGCTTTACTATTAAAACAGAGGGAGAATGAGGAGCTTGGGGAACAGGGGAGGCAGGTTTTTTTACATGGTATTTTTTCCAGAGTTACATCCTGTGGGAGCAACTTACACAGCCTTTCAATACACATGGATGGATTACTGCTGATCAAAAAAAAGCAGAGTTACCTCGTTCAGCATTTTGCTTTATGGCCTTGATTTTGTTTAGTGCTGACCAGCTCTTAAAAAAACTTGATGAGTAATTTGGGGAGAAAGACTTCCTAAGAGAAATTTGCTGGGCTCAAAATTCACTTGTGAACTAAGCCACCTGAAAAGTCTAGCAGCTGTCCTGTTCCTAAAAGCTAAAAACAGGAAAAAGTTGACTGGGTCATAAAATTTACTTAATACCACTGGATAGATTTATTAAGCACTTTACTACATGGCAATGAAAACACCACTTGGCACTGCAGGGGCCCAGTTCAATTACCAACATGAAACCCTAACACACTAACCAACCTATGGTGCGTGACAACTGTCAGTTTATAATTATAAAACAGCTCTGAATATAGTCTGCATCAAATTTTAACTTCGCTCTCACACATATACACATGCACAATCCCCTCTTCCCCACTCCTCAATCTTCACATGATAAAATACTGAAGCATGGTGCAAGCAGTTAACAAGGACTTCAAGCCATTAAATGTGAGCTCCAGAGGGACTTACAGCCAGTTCTCAAGCGATAGGACTGAGGAGTGTACACATCCACATTACCAGCCCCAGGGGCACCTCCAGTGCACAGGACTGTATACTTTTGGCAGTCTCCTCATGCAATTATTTCATTGCAGCTGAGCACTGTGCTTATCTGCTAACATCCTCCTCAGACAGATACATCTCTCAAAAGTCCAGTTTGCATTCATTTAGTTTTCAGTTGCATGGCAACAGAAATAGCCAAGAAGCTTCCTGGTTTAAAATACACTTAAAGCAACAGGGGAGTAAAAAAAGAGACTGTGAACAGCATCTCTGATTCTGTAGTTTAAACTAGCAGCTTGTCTACAGGCACTTCAGACATGACCAGAATGTGGCAGAGACGCTTGAGCTTGATCTAGTGCAGTTTAGCTGCAACACTCCAGGCAAGCTAAAACAGCCTGTATTCACTCCTGTGCCCGCATTGTAGGTGTGGCTTCAGATTTTAAGTTGACTTTGACACTAATGGCCTATTATTTGTCAAATCAATGGAATGCCCCAATATAAACACATTTACCAACTACTACAAAATGTACACAGAGTATGCTTTTACTGTTTTGACCAAATAAAGTTAATTATACCTACAGTTATATAACAAACAGTTAAAGACTACCATCTTTATACACCTAATAAGACTAAACAAGCTACAGGAAACACTAGACATATGCTTTAAACAACAAAAATATTCCTGCACTTGTTTTAAGATGATGAAATCTAAGACAAGATTTCAACACAAAGTGTTGCTTGACTATAGTTGTGTATTCTTAACAGAAGCTCTATAGCAAGCACCCTCTTCGACACCTCCCCATCAAGTACATCCCTAAACTACAGAGAACACATTTTACTGCACACAGTATATTAACTACAAAATTTGCAAATTGAGATGGCTACTGATTTCCTGAGGGGTTTTTACAGCCCACCCAACTCGCACTCTCAGCCTCCAAACTTCTTGCATTCCTTATAATCTATGTGCTACTAACACACTGCATTAGCTGACATTAATCCCATTAGCCCATGATCAGAGCTGTGGTCCATTTCTGCACATTTGATAGGCTGTCTACATGAATAGCTGGAAGATTACAGCACAGGATACTATTAACCTGCAGCTTCCCCCAGGTGATATCTTGGAAGGAGAGGAGGAATAGCCAAGTTCACAAAGATTCCTGGATAAATGACTAAGTTCAAAGTAAAACATGCTAGTAAGAACTAACTATTTGGGAGAAAAAATTTGCAGTGACAGGCAGCTTTTTTTAATTACCATTTGGGGGAACATGCCTGGCACTTACTGCAACAATATCAGGATGTAAGCTTTGCCTTGACATATATCCAAATAAGAATTAAGATGTGAACAATACATCAGTTGCATCAAAGTCTTCTGCTTACTCATGCATTCATTCATTTGTCAGACAGCAACACTTCTTACAGTGCAACTCAAGAGATCACTGGAAACATTTGTTTATGTATAAGTAATTTTTATCATCTGCTCAAAAGCCTCTTTGACAACAGATACAATCAACTTACTCTAGATTTATTCTCTTTTACGCATACTCCCAGAAAAAAAAGTCAGGTTTCGAATACCACTGTTATAGCTCCAGGATCAAGTCTTCAGATTCCTGCTCAAATTGCTTTCCTGAGAATCTGGATTTAACCTACTCAGGCTACAGAGAGCCTGGGTTCAGGACTGTGCCTTGATAAAATATTTATCATTCCATATTTGGCTGTGCAATATGAAGTGCTCATGAAAGGGAAGCATAAAGTCAATGCAAAGCCATGCAGCAAACCTGCTACTTGCCCACCTCTGAGACTTCCTTCCTGTAGCCTTGCTCTTGGGAGGGTAAAAGCTGATATGGAAAAATTGAATGTTCTCTTCAGTCTCAAACCTGCTTAATCAGCATCTTTAACAGAACAATACAGAAAGCAGTTTCCATCCTGAAAGAGACAACTGGTGCCTTGATACCATATTGCTTCCTCTGTAATGGGGTGAGTGGAAGCAAGAGAGGGCACAAACCACTATCCCTTGGGAAGAAGCTGGGAGAGAAATGAAGCCCAGAGCCAGGGACCCTCAGATAGACATGGACCAGTCTCAGGCCACTGCAATGCATAAGGAAACCATGGAAGGAGGCAGGGGTAAATAGTTTTCAGATAAAGCAGCACTATATTGTTACCATCAGTAAATACTTTAAGTTCCCTCTTCTACATTGAGTAAGCTCATGAAAAAACAGCCCAGGGCACAGCACTGAGCAGTAACATAGCTGGTTTTCACAGAGAACATTTTAAGTGGATTCCCACCGACTTCTGCAGATCAGCTCCCAATGGCTTTAAACGTTGAGTCTGCATTTACTTCTTTAGCCTCAGTACACATGTTTATAAGCCAACTTCTCACCTGATATGTTTTGCCTGTTCAGGAAAGTTCTAGTCATATGGTTTAGTCTTAAGTAGTCCTACAAGGACCAGGGAGAGGGACTCTATGATCCTTATGGGTTCCTTCCAACTTGAGATATTCTATGATTCTACACAGCATTTTGCTGGAAGGTTTGCTCAGGCTTCAGTTCTTTAAGAAGATAATTCAAGCACAGATGAAGGATCTTCCAGTTCAATTTTCTTTATCAGGAATACTTATGGGACAACCAGAGCAATTGATAAATTCAAATCAGATTTCACAAAAAACCCCCAGTGAAGTGGTGATATTTGCGAAAATAAATGTCAAACATTTTATTTGGAAACACATTCTGGTAGCAAAATTTTTAAAACTTCAGAAGTAGAAGAAAAGCATCAAAATACCATTTTTAACCAAGAAAAACAATGCAATAGAGCTTTAACTTGAATTTTTAATGTACTGCAACTGATTTAAATCAATCAATTCCTTTACCACTCTTTTTGCAATCTGGCAAGAGAGCTCTCCCTCTTATTCCCTAACTCCATGTAATAGATTGAGATGAATGTAGCCATAAACGAGATGAGAAAGACACAACCAGCATAACCAGTCCTGTGTCACATAGGTCAGCTACACTCCACAAGATAATATCACAAAAAAGTGAGAAACAGTTTTTTAATTCTGTCCCTATGCATATCTGTATTTATTGCACAGTTACAGATGCATGAGAGCAACTGACAGCAACTGTAAATAATACTCCTCACGCAGGCCCTTAAACTACATCTGCATCATTGCAGATGCTTCAGAGTATACAGTCATAAAC